GTACGGGGCAGCCCCCTGCGGGTGTTTGGGAATACGTGTGACACAGCTGAACTGCTTATGCCGGTGTGTGTGTGTCGGGGGGGTCCTCTCTATCTCCTCACTTTCAAAGTGGTGAAAGGTGTCATAAATATTTTCTCTCCCCTTCAGATACCACCTTCTCAAACTCCTTCAGAAGTTTGGCAAAGTGAAGCAGTTTGACTTTCTCTTTCACAAGTCTGGTGCTCTGGAGGGGCAGCCCAGGGGTTACTGTTTTGTGAACTTTGAAACCAAACAGGTATGTTGCTTTTGTCTAAAATTCTGATTTAAATGACTGGCTTATTTCCCCATCTGTTTTTTAATGTTAAAGTTAAAACAGGAAGGGATAAATGAAATACCTTTTCTACACAAACCCACAGGCTCTAACAGCTCCACTCTGCAACAGCCATTTTGTGACTGCTCCTGGAAGTAGCAGTAACAATTTCCTTTCTCCTCTGCTCTCTTTTCCTCAATCCTGCTTTCTAATGCCAGTCAGAACAGACCAGTTCTTTGGTCTGATTTTGTAGTGAGCTTGTGGAGCCGTACCCTGGCATTGCTGCGAACCACACAGAGCCTTGGATCAGCCAGCCAGACCACCTGAAAACCAGAACTGCTCTGAAGTCCTCCTACTTTTCCTTTTGGCTTCATGAGTACACAAACCAGCTTGTGTGATGCTGCCAGATGTGCAACAAGACACATCTGCAGCACCCTGAACTGCCCCTGACTGTCCATTTGGGGTTTTACCTCTTGTCACAAATCAAAATTTCAAGTCATGGTCACCTGCAACATCAGAGTTGTCGTTATTTTGTCAATTCTGCTAGGATTGTTCAACAGTTAGGAAGAACAGTGTGTTTGGAGAGTGCTTGTTGTGTGACCTCATCTCTTCGCTGGGCAATTGCCAATAAAGATGTCACAAGAGCCCTGACACAGTGCGTTAGCTCTAGGAAATTGCGCATAGGTAGAACAGCATTGCAATGTAAATCTTCAACTGCTGTGAATCCAGTTTGATGAGAGTGCCTCAGCACTGAGACTCCACAGCTGAGCCTAGAACAAGAGCAAGTGGATAATGTCCCCAGCGTGCACGAGCAAGATCTGGAATAAGAGATGGGTGTTAATGAGACACATGTAATCACTGTAATCAGTCACAGTATTGTCTAGAGAAACTCCTGCAGCATACACCTCCCTCAGAATTTTGTTACAGTGGCCTCTTTGTTTGGTATTCTCAAAAATCCTGATCGTTTTCCCCATTTCCTCCCCCAAAACAAGTGAAAGAATAAACCGACAAGGCTGATAAAAGTCTGATTACTCAGATGTTGGAGTCTTCCAAAGATATTCCTGCATTGGGATACATGAAAATTTCTCTGCTGGCAGTTAGCTGTACTTACAGAAGACTGCTTAACAAAGAGAAAGGGCTCTTTACCTCTGGGTTGGTTTTGACTAAGGCCTCGGTTTGTTTATTGAACTGTCTTCCTGTGCAGGAAGCAGAAAAGGCGATCCAGTGTCTCAATGGGAAGCTGGCCCTTTCCAAGAAATTGGTGGTGCGGTGGGCACACGCACAAGTCAAGGTAAGCTGCTTGTTGTAAACAAGAATTGCTTTTAATTTGCAAAATTTAAAAACTTAATATTAAAGAACAATTCTTATTAAGGCTGTCTTAGCCTCACAAGATAATTTCAGTCTGTTCTGGGAAATAACTCTCGCAGAAAGGGTATTAATGATCTACCGCTTCTCCTGCCTGCCTGCGCTGTGCTGCGTTATCGGAGTGGGAACAGGCCCTTCACCTGCTGGTCTCTGTGAGGGAGTTTCTGGTCAGAGCGGTGTGAACAGATCATTTCTATATATGTCCATGTTTTAACTTTTCCCAAACTTAGTGACTGGCTGAAAGTTTGAATCCTTCCCTTTGTGGTTTTGCTCTATTTTTGGGTAGGAGATGCATGAAAATTCCCAATTACCAGCTACTCTGTTACTTTGTTCCACTTCTGAAAGCACTTACATGGCAGCAGCTCTGACTTTAACATATTTTGCATCTAAGCTAAATATCCTTTTATTGCTTGCTCTGTTGCATAAAATATCAAGTTTTTAATATTAATTTAAGCAGTACCTTCTGGAACATGCTTGTTTTCATTTATTTAAATTCTTGTCTTTTTTTTCCTGCAGTCACTTACTGTCTGGTATTTGATAAAGCAATTTATTTGGTTAGCTTTCTTTGCAGACAAATGGATTTTGGGGGAGGTGGGAGGGGAGCTGCTTCTTGCTATTTTCCTTTGGGTAGTTTGCTTTTAGCATGTGTTTATTATCCTACAAGCAGCTTTCTACCCTTTCTCTTATTGAGTACACTAATGCATCTGTTTTGGATGCTAAAAAGCCAAACCAGGTATCTTCGTTAAAGGAGACCATGTTGTTTTAATTATTGGCTTCAAGGGCTCCAGGCTGTTGTCAGCACATCCAAGCTTGTGCAGATCCAGTCACCATTTTCTTCAACTCTGTAGCTACTAGAGTGCCACGTGCTTCCGGATGCCTGAAGAATGCTCAGGCCTTAAAAGGAGTTTCAACCGGAGGAGCGAGCGCCTGCTCAGCCTGGAGTTCAGCGGGCAGCTCAGTGCTCGGCTGGCCAGGGTACGGTGAAGAACGTGCATAAATAATCAGTTTAGCTTGCATAGCATTTTCAAATACATGAATGGAAAGATTTAACAGCACAAAACTTTGGTTATTGTAACAAGCATTTATTTTAGATAATAGCAGCACCATGCTAAGTAGTTTTAAGGTGTGTGGCCAAGGCTTAGCAGACACTGTCGGTTGGAGCAGCTCTGCTGAAAAACAAACCTGACTTTTTGCCAAGCGAAACAAGGAAGCACAACACAGCAAATAGTTCAGGAGGCCTGTTGCCCGCAGAGATGACAGACTCACAAGCTGCTTTCTGCAGAAAGGAGGTGGTTCCTAACTGGTCTTTTTTTTTTTTTTTTTTTCTCCTCCCAGCACTGCACAATTCTGTGCAGTCGTGTGCTTGGGTTACCGTCTGACTCTGCACAACGACTGTACTGCATTGCTGTGCTCTTTATACAGTTGTTACCTTAATTTACCATCTTTGTTTCCTGCCTTATATAGAGGGGAAAAAGAAGTGGTAAGACAGGATACGGCTTAAGGATCCATGGTACAATGCACATAAGTGCTCGATATTAGAGTCTACGTTCCATGTTGGTACTAAACAAATATTATGGTTGGGATTCATTTCAGTGTTTGGCCCCAAAATAATTCCTAGCAAAAGCTTCACAAAATCTGCGGTGATGTTGATCCAACTTTCAAGTGTATCTGTGGGCAAGAGTTTCTTTGTTCATAATTACAGCTGACTTTAATCCTTGGTTCACAGAGATATGATCACAATAAAAATGAGAAGATCCTTCCAATCAGTCTGGAGCCATCGTCCAGCACGGAGCCACCCCAGTCTAACCTCAGGTAGGACATGGGATGGGTGAGAGGTGACCAGCCTGTGGGGGTGGCAGGGATCGAACTCCGTTGATGTCAGTAAGATCTAGAGTTGTTGGCGTTATGTTTGTGTCAAAAATCTCATGTGGCAGAAAAGCTGTTTTTAGAAGGGCAGCCTGCTGCAAAGTAACTTGTGATGGGGAACACTTCAGACTTGAAGTTCATTTTCTAATGTGTGGAGGAGAGGAAAGAGGAAAGGAGAAGAATTGGGAATGTGTAACACTCCAGCTCACTTGGACAGAATCTGCTTTGTGCTTTTTCATGTGAATTTCAGTGAGGGGTTTTGTACTGTACTGATTTGATTAAGCAAAATGCTTATGAACAAGAATTTCTATTATAGTGGTGAAAGATCAAAACGAGGTAGTACTTTACTTTTTCTTTTTTCCATTAGGTCTTCCCTGTGGGATGTGGCTAAATTCTCGAACCCCTCCGTTTACCCAAAGCATGTCGTGCTGCTTTGCTAATTCACAGTTTGGTTGAAAGGAGATGTGATTTTTCCTCCATGTTCTGTCAGTGGAACCCTATGAGGAACCAGGACTGGGGATAATGAATGATAAAAAGATAAAATGAGCTTGGAATTCAGAAGTAACGGGCTAGGAAGTAATGAGCAGAGAGGCTTGAGTCATGCAGATTGTTAGCTACGTCAACGGCACAAAGGAGTTGTTTTAGTGAGGATGGATTGCGGCAAAAAGCCGCAGCAGAGAAGGGAACATTCCTCGGTCTGTACCCAATGGAGGCTAGTGAATAACAAAAGCCCTAGGAATTTGGGGTGTAACCTGGGATAGCTTCTCCCTCTGGGATAAACCCTGCTAATGCTGAAATAATGTTTCTTCCTGACCTAATTAGAGTCTGGGGTTTTCCCATCCCGAGTGGTCTTGTAGCTGGGAGGAAGTCTGGCTTTCATTTCTCTGCTGTTTCCAGCAGCCTCGTCTGTGCTGTGCTCTGCTGCACATGCTCAGACCTCTGTAAGTGACATCATGTTACATGAAGGAGGAAGCTTTGTGTGCTTGTCTCGCTCAGTGTCCTCGAGAAAGTGCTGAGTAGGTGCAAGGACTGTTATTTTGCGGTGCTGTGATATATCTTGGAGGACCTTTTCTAAGCAAATCCACGTTGAGGATTGAAATGAAATAGCGTGGGCTTTGAGCAGTGGATTCCTGCCTCCCAGCTTCACACTGCTTGTGACTGCAGCGACGGGGGCTGCCTGGCCCGCCCTTGTGTGACTGAGTATTTGCGCGTCATCAAAATCTCTGGATTGCTGTAGTCTGATTCCATGCTCAGATCAAACTCAATTTCTCTTCTGCTTTTCCTCTTTGCAGTGTCAGTACAAAAATAAAGGCCATTGAAGCCAAGCTGAAAATGATGGCAGAGAATCCAGATGCAGAATACCCAGCAGCGCCTGTTTATTCGTACTTCAAACCACCGGATAAGAAAAGGACTACTCCTTATTCCAGAGCTGCCTGGAAATCTAGAAGATGATGCTTATGAATGGATAATGGTAGCAAGAAACACTGCTTTGTATACCTGGAGTCCTCCAATGCTTTTGTACTTTGTAGAGTGGGAAGGATCCTGCCACCTGAGCACACCACCACTGTACACGGTGCAGTGTTCTGTAACACCTTCGGTGGTCTGCCGAACGCTCCTGACTGCCAGCGCAGCTTCACAGCTGAGCGCTGTTCAGAAAAGTTGGTTCCCTTCAAAGCCTCTGATGAACACGCAGACAACCTCTCGTTAGTGTGTATTCATTAGCAAGATTGGAAACAGTAACCAGTGTGTGGAGTAAGGCACATCCAAAAATACTCCATGTAACTGATTACTTTCTAAAGTATTTTTGAACAAAAAGTATTCCGACTCGTGTTTTTAATGGAAGGGAAGCACTTGGTTTTGATTAACGTTCTGTAGTTATCATGGAAGACTTTTTCATCTCAATAAAACTCATTTTAAATAGATTTTGCAACACTTTTAGTAACTGTGCATACAATATTTTATATGCACCAGAGTAAATTTATTTTGCATTTTGATTTGCCAGCTTTGAGGTATTGCTCTGTGGTATGGTCACCTTAAGACAAGTCATGACACAGTGTGGGTATTTTCGGTGTTGCTTAGGCTGTAGGTGTGTGCCTCTGCGTAGGAATTCGTGTATTCACACACCACTGGGGTCTGTGCGGTGCCGTAAGCTCAGAGCACAACGGTGGCATATCTGATGCTTGCGTTCAGTAATTCCCGTGGGTGGCAGCTCTTCGTAAACCAGCTGTGACAGCGTGAGCATAACGCCATGGCCCCGCAGCCATCTGTCAAGCAGCTGACCTCAGTGTTTGCCCACCAGCAGGTCCAACTTCTGGTTTTCACCGGCTGGTAAAGCTGGTTGTCTGTGGATGTGAAGTGGCACAAGTGTGTTTGGAGAAAGGGTTCTGGGGAGAGCTGCGGCAGGCGCTCACTTTGCGAGCTCAAACCCTTTGATCTGCAGCACATACTTCTATGTAAATGTTCTCTGCAAAACAGAAATCTGAAAAGAAGCACTAACAGCGGTTCTGCTTTGTACACACAGCGCTGTGGCTGCATGTGCAAGGGGGACGGAGAACGTGTGCGCTCAGGTCCAGGTGACTGGTGTGGTTCAGCCGCTGTCTGCTCTCTGGTCCTTCCTCTGGTGAATCTTTACCCTTGGTCACTCTTGAGTTGCTTCCTCAACCTGGTTAACAGTGGTCTCAAATGAGGAAGAAAATAATTTTTAAAGAGCCTCTGGTGTGTGTACGCAGGTGTTGCTCACTGTGCAAGGTGAGGCTTGTGTTCCTCCAGCGATGCACCCACCTCTGGACAGAGCACGCTTCCCGCTTCTGAACCGAGCGCCTGGAGCAGAGCTGAGCCTGTGTGTGGATGGGTTGTTAAAATCCTGAATTGTTCAAAAGTAGGTCTCGTGCTGTTAAATATTTGCTTTCTAGTTTTTGGGTACTTGAGTAAAGAGAAAAGTAGTGTCACTGGGAGTTTGAACCCCCACAAATGTCAATAGCACCCGTTTGCATTCCTCTGAACAGCCCGTGTTTTGTTCTTGCGTGGTCTGTTGTTTGTAGTCCCCCGGGTCTGTGTCTGCGTTATTTAGAACAGCATTCAATTCCGTTTCTATTAGGAACTTAAAAAATACCTGGATTCAAATCGGGTATGTGGCTGTGTTCCTGTCAGAAACACGCTTTCCTATTTATTTGTACTTAAGTACAATTTGTTGGAATTCTTACAATTCTGAATAAACGTTTAAAATGCATGTTTTCCTGCAGGAGAGTGAGGGTGGCGAGCAGGAAGTGAGGGTGGTAAATGCTTGGCATCAGCCGAAGTCCACTGATACAAATCTGGGTACAATAGCACTAGTCTTTTTTTTTTTAATTTTTTTGCACTACCACAGTCACTAACAGAAGTGCCTTGTCTGTCGCTGGGCCACACTCAGACCTGGGGGAGCTTTATTGCAGGTCGGTGTTTGTTGGTCATTCCCTCGGCTGCCGGCCTGGCAGACGCTCGTGCTGCCTGCGCTTCCCAGGAATGCTGTGCCTTCCCGCCGGCCCCGCGCCTCTGCGGCAGCCGGCAGCGATAGCGCAGCAACGCCAGAGTTTCTGACCCTGGAGCTGGGAGGAGGTAAATGCTCAGTAACGTTTTCGTGAGCGTCAGCTCCGGGGCTTTGCGTATCGACCATCATGAGATAGGTTTGGAAAGCACCGGGAAGCGTGGCGTCGCTTTGGAGAATGCGGCCGGCACTAGAGCTGTAAGTACAGAGTCCGGAAGCTGGTGGTGGGAAGGAGAGCTGGACCTGGCTCCCCCGAGGAGGAGTCTGGGGCTGTTTCTCACCCCTGGCGTATGGTCCTGTCCTCTTTGGGGTTTCTTTGCATCCCCTCTATCTCCAGCAAATCCCTGGGGGTGAGGTGGGGCACCAAGGATGATGTTCACCATGTCTGCGGTGTGGGTTTTTCTGCAGTATTTCAACAATCTTCCTGCCTGTGGTGAGACTCCCTCGCTTTGGGAGGGGTGTGAAATCATGTCGTCACCCCTGGGAACACAGAAAGGCCAAACCCCAACTCGGGATTCGGGGTGACACACAGCCTCCTCGTCACTGCCTCATGAACTCTAGCACTGGTGGAGGGAGCACATTGGGGGGGAGAAAGGGGCTGGAGTTGGTGCTAACCCCCAGGAATTCCCCTGCTTTGCGTTCCCCAAGCGCTCCGTGGCCGTGTTCTCGGTGCCGGCAGTCATGTAACCCGCCTTTTGGGGCTCTGCCTGCACGTGGGGAGAGAGGCTGCCCACGGGGCCAAGATTTGATCTTAAGGCCAGGGAAAGGCAGAGAACGGGCTCAGAAACACGGTGACTTCAGCTGAGCTGGGCTTTGAGGGGCCCGGAGTGCCCGGTCTGTGATTACGAGAGCAGAGCAAGCCGCCGGCAGTGCCGTGTCACGAGTGCCGTGGCCGTGGCAGCGCTCCCGATGCCAAGGGAACCCGCG